GGATTGCGGCGACGTTGTACTCGAGTAACAAGCCAAGAAGTCGCACTTAATTTAGAATGTTAAGGAAGGAGGGGGAGAGGGAAAGGAGGGGGAGAGGGAAGGGAGCGGAGAGAGGGAAGGGAGGGGGAGAGGGAAAGGAGGGGGAGAAAGAAGGGAGGGAGAGGGAGAGAGAGAGAGGGAAAGGAGGGGGAGAGGGAAGGGAGGGGGAGAGGAAAGGGAGGGGGAGAGGGAGGGGGAGAAGGATGGGAGGGAAGAGGGAAGGCATGGAGAGAGGAAAGGGAGGGGGAGAGGGAAGGGAGGAGGAGAAAAAGGGAGGGGGTGAGGGAAGGGAGGGGGAGAGGGAAGAGAAGGGAGGGGAAGAGAGAAGGGAGGGGGGAGAGGGAAGGCATGGGAAGAAGGAAGGGAGGGGGAGAGGGAAGGGATTAGAGGGGCAGAGGAAAGGGTCGGGAGGTGGAGAGGGGATGGGAGAAGGGTGTGGAAGGGAGGGGAGGGGGAGAAGGAGGGGAGGGGAGGGGAGGGGAGGGGAGGGGAGAGGGAAGGTAGAGAGGTGGGGAGAGGGAGGAAGGGAAATGAGAGGGAAAGAGTGGAGGGGAAGAGAGGGGGAGGAGGAAAGTAGTGTTGATGGTTAGAGTGGGGGAGGGGGTCTTTGACGCTGCGAGGGGGGTGGGGTGTAGAGGAAGGGGGGGTGGAGGGGGTCAGCGAGGAAACAGCCCAAGAGACAGTCCGGATAAACGGGACAGAAGGTGCGCCCAGCATGCCTTAGCGGACCATAGTAAGACCGGAAGTCAAGACGTTCTTGCGAGGTTTCTTGCACGCCGCACACGCGCCCCGTGCCAGCTCCATTCATTCACTCATTCACCTCAGAAATTATGAATGGGCGAGCGGGTAAACAACGAGAGACTGATGAATGAAGATCTCCAAGGGGAAAGCGGGCCACCAGACGCCACTGACAAAACGCAACAATAAGATCCTACGGTCCGATTTAAGCTCTGAAACTTGGCATTAATAATGTTATCTCGGGGACCAACGCGAAGTAACAATGTGAAGTTCCCCTTGACAAAATTTACTTGCGCGAATTTATTTGTGTTGCTTAAGTGCCGCGTTGTAGCGAAGATAAGCCAACTGGGACGCATTGGGGGGTGGGGAGGGGGTGGGCGGGACGGGGAAGGGAGTGGAAGGAGGGAGGGAGGTAAAGAGGGGTAGGAGGGAGGGAGGGAGGTGAAAGAGGGGGAAGGGGAGAGGGAGGGTGGAGGTAAAGGAGGGAGGGAGGGAGGGAAGGAGAGAGGGAGGCAAAGAGGGGTAGGAGGGAGGGAAGGAGGTAAAAGAGGGGGAAGGGGAGAGGGAGGGGTGGAGGTAAAGGAGGGAGGGAGGGAGGTGAAAGAGGGGGAAGGGGGCAGGGAGGGAAGGAGAGAGGGAGGCAAAGGGGGGCAGGGAGGGAGGGAAGTAGGGAGGTGAAAGAGGGGGAAGGGGAGAGGGAGGGTGGAGGTAAAGAAGGAAGGGAGGGAGGGAAGGAGAGAGGGAGGCAAAGGGGGGCAGGGAGGGAGGGAAGTAGGGAGGTGAAAGAGGGGGAAGGGGAGAGGGAGGGTGGAGGTAAAGAAGGAAGGAAGGGAGGGAAGGAGAGAGGGAGGCAAAGGGGGTCAGGCAGGGAGGGAGGGAGTTGAAGGAGGGGGAGGGGGAGAGGGAGGAGGGAGGAAAGGGGGAGGGAGGGAGAGAGGGAGGGAAGGAGGCAGGTAAAGGAGGGGGATGGGGGCGGGAGGGAGGGAGGGAGTGGAAGGAGGGGGAAGGGGAGTGGGAGGAGGAAGGTAAAGGAGGGAGAGAGAGAGGGAGGAGGGAGGGAAGGAGGGAGGTAAAGGAGGGAGCGACGAAAAGGAGACGGAGGGAGAGAAAGAAGAGTGGGAGGGAAGTAGGAAGGAGAAGATAGAAAGAGGAAAGAGGGAGATAGGAAGGGGAGAAAGAGGGAGAGATGTAGGGAGGGAGGGAGGAAATTTAGGGGAGGGAGTGAGGGAGGAAAGAAGGTAAGGGAGAAGGGTGGGAGAGAAGGAGGAAGGGGGAGGAGGGAGAGGAGAAGAGAGGGGAGATAGCACGAAGGGGAAGAGAGGTAAAGGAGAGAAGATAAGGGGGAGGGAGAGAAGGAGAGAAAAGGTAAAGGAGAGAAGATAAGAGAGGGAGGAAGGGAAGAAGAAAATGAGAAGCGTAGATAGGGTTAAAAGTTAGAAGAGAGAGAGAGAGGGAGAGAGAGAGAGAGAGAGAGAGAGAGAGAGAGAGAGAGAGAGAGAGAGAGAGAGGACGAGAGAGAGAGAGAGAGGAGAGAGAGAGAGAGAGAGAGAGGGAGAAATAGAAAGAGAAAGAGAGAGAGAGAGAGAGAGAGAGAGAGAGAGAGAGAGAGAGAGAGAGAGAGAGAGAGAGAGAGAGAGAGAGAGAGAGAGAGAGAGAGAGAGAGAGAGAGAAAGAGAAAGAGACGAGAGAGAGAGAGGGAGAGAGAAAGAGAGAGGAAGAGAGAGAGAGAGAGAGAGAGAGAGAGAGAGAGAGAGAGAGAGAGAGAGAGAGAGAGAGAGATGAGAGAGAGAGAGAGAGAGAGAGAGAGAGAGAGAGAGAGCGAGAGAGAGAGTGAGAGAGAGAAAGGAAGGGTAAAAAGGAGGTAAGAGAGAAAGGGACAAATAAAATAAGAGACATAGAGGGAGGAGAGCAACGGAAGGAGAGAGTAAAGATAAAAAAGTAAAGAAAGGGGCGAAGGAGTACTTGAGAGAGCAGAGCTGAGGACCTTGTGGCGACGCCCGAAGGGGCGTGGGCGGCGGTATGAGGGCGTGCACGTGGGGGGGGGGGACGTGCGTGGGCTGTGGCGAAGGCGTGGGTTGGTGGATGTCAAAGTAGGTTTGAATTAGCTACAGAAGGCTGGCTGAAACCAATACCAAGCGGGCAGCTTATTGGCTCTTCTTTACGGTCTAACATTTTCTCAGCGTGAATAGTGTTCCGCCGACACTCCATCATCTTGAACTTGAATAAACATACACGAGGCACGCTCTCATTTGCCGACAGCGAAAACAGGCGCCGGGGGATCGCCCACGGCCCCCGACTTAAATAAAGCGCCTCTTCGTCCGAATAAAAGACCCGTTCGGACGAGAAGCCCTTCCGCGCCTCGGAGGACTCGGCTCTCCCTGCGGCGCTCCGGGTATCGCTTGCCCGGCGATGAGATGTCGGGGCGTGACTCCCGTGCCAGGTGCCGCGGCGAACGCCATCAGCTGCAGGGAATAAAAAGATTAAGATCTGGCACTACGGGACGTGGGCGAAAGGGAGAACAATGTAGCCGTGATGTGACACGTTTATAGCCAGCAGTGATGCCATGATGTGCCGTATCTGTTACCGGTGCCGCACCCGTACACGCAGTGCCAAGCGAGAGGGCCAAAACTCCGCTGCAGTGTCAAGTTTAATTAGCATGGTTAAATGGCGAGTGATATCCCTGTGTGCGAGGAAGCTCTAAGTGGCGCTCTCACTCCGGCATCTCGTTCGTCAAAGCTGAGTTACAATGGAGTGCCAAATCTAATGCTAATATCACGCCGAGTGTCATATCTATTACAGGCGCCGCCCGGAGGAGCCCTCCTGCCGCCGCCGCCGCCGCCGCCGCCCCAGAGCCATTTCTAAGGCTGCGGACGGCGCTCGCCCGCGCGGCCCGCCCCTTGCCAACGCTGCCCAGGCGTCGTGTTTTGCCAGCGACTCGCGCGAACCACGCACTCTCGGCGAACTCCACTTCCGCTTCAGCACTGCGCGAGGAATCTCGCAAATGACGAGCCGCGAGCACTACAAACTACAGCATTCTGAGTAGTGAAGCGTGGGTCGGGAGGTTCTTCATCCCGGCCACATGGTGTGCTTTGAAGCGCGGCGAAACAGGCAAAGATATTAAGGTTAGCAGTTATGATAACTGCTCGACCACTATTTCATTTCGAAGCTGAATAAATCAACTAAGATTATCTGACTTGATTTATTATCAGTCATTGAGTACCTATTTTATAAAGTACTGTTTACACTGCGGAAAATATTGTTACGTTACCTGCCCGTATTAGCACTCATTTCCCCTGGCGTCAAAAAACATTTAATCAGATAAACGTTAGGGATACAATTTGAGTTTAATAGGACTATGTTTTCGAATTCAGACGTTGTAGATGAGTGGTAACTGTTCCCACTCCTCGCCTATCGAGCACATAAAAGAGGTAGCCCTTAAAGTATGGCAATGTTACGGCTATTATGAAAATGCAACTGAAATATATATATAAATACTAAACGCTCTCAGGGAAAAACTCACATTAAGAAATCGTCGTATATTATATATATATATATATATATATATATATATATATATATATATATATATATATATGCGTATATATATATATATATATGTATATATATATATATATATATATATATATATATATGTTTATATATATAATGTGTGTGTGTGTGTGTGTGTGTGTGTGTGTGTGGTGTGTGTGTGCATGTGAGTGTGTACGTGTGTGTGTGTGTGTGTACTAGTGTATAATATATACATATATAATATATATATATATATATATATATATATATATATATATATATATATATATATATATATATATATATATATATGTATATATATATATATATATATATATATATATATATATATATATATATATATATATATAATTTCGGGACTGCTAAACATTCCAGGGATAAAGATTGATAATCAGAACACTTCAACACGAACTCGAACAAAATGTCTGGCCAGCAATGCAATGCTTTACGCCTTATAAACTCCTGTAAAGCGCGTCATTATCAGCAATTTCAATCCCAAACCGCCGGGGAGTCGCGCCCTGTTCCCAGCCACCATGACCTTCCCTCAGCTTTAATGTTTACAAGGATTAGTCTTGTCATCTCGGGGCTTCAAGTCGGTCAGAAGTGAAAGGCAAGATTCGAGATTCACTGACGAAACGCTTCACAAAAAAAGTGCGAATTCAAATGAAGGTCTAGATGCGCAGCAGATTTCTTATTGCTTTCACAGAGTGGTAATGAGACATATTAAGTAGCGCCGGTGTGGCTATCAGCGCGCCGTGTCCTCTTTTCATGCGCGTCTCCATTTGATCTTTCATCCGAGGATCTTCAAGTACAAACGGTCCTCGCGTCTCGGGTTCCCGTCGCACGGAATCTGGAAAGATAACCTAAATGATAAAAACTTATTCTCCGAGATTATATTCTCCTGCGAGGCAATCTTTCTGAATTAAAAAGTCACATCAAAGAATCCCAACACGGTGACATAAGTGCGCCTTGTCTGCCCATTAACGAAAGCTCATAACTTGTCAACAAACGAGTGACTGTGGCGAAGCGCACAGTACCTGCGCGTCGCTCTCGCATACCTCGCGGCCGCCTTCGCCCACTCACTCGCTAATTAATTTTTTCTCTCCTTTCTGTGCGCGGATCGGCGTCTCCTTCTTCTCCCGAGGTTTCTAACGGCTCATTTGACGCCGTAAGATCGCCTTCTGTCTCACGCGACTGGATTTGTGCTTAATCATCGGGTATAAAATTCCGTCTTTATTAAGCCCTTCGATCATATGAACGAGTCGCCGCGTTGCCTCGATTCAGTTCTGCCGTCGCCATAATCACTGTCGAGACGATAATGGCAGGTGATCTCGCTTGATCGTCTCCGATTACTGTTTGCGCTTAATTGAATTATTATGGCGCCGTCAAATTCTCTGTCTCTGGGTGGTCCGGGACGTCGAGCTCTGCCGGGGAGGGCCGGGGGGGGGCAGGGGGGGGTGCGCTGTTCACAAGGCTAAGAAGGTTCAGGGATGAATGATAATTATGCAAGGGCTGAGTGAATGGTAGTTTGGTAGTGATATACGGGCTTAATGAATAATGTAGGAGCCGAATGAATGGAAGCATTGTCAAGGCCAGTGCTGTAGCCACGGAGGATGGGCCGAGATTTCCACTTTTGAAAAAAATATGATTCTTGTAGTTCTCATTGTAAGAAGTTAGGATTATCGGTCATGAGAAATCGCAGAAAAGTTTCTACCTTACAAACAGTCACTCGTATCGCTGGCTTCATTAACTCCGAGAATCAGGATTTGCAGTAAATAATGGCAACGTATAAAGGCTTAATGAACAGATTGGGAAACGGGGGAGGGAGAGGAGAAAGTGGGGGAGGGGAAAAGGGGGTGAGGGGAAAAGGGTGAGGGGGAGAGTGGGGAAGACAGCAGCGGAAGAAATATCAGAAACAAGGAAAAATACACAGATCCCAAAACAAACAAACAAACAAACAAAGAGTTGAAAAAAAAATAGAGAAATTAGAAGCCAAAGGAAGGTAAGACTTGCTGAGTAGAGGGTGCCAGCTCCGTGCCTGCTGGGAGGTCTCAGGTGGTTACAATAACAATAATCTTCAGGTCTCACCCCCCTCCTCCTTATTCCCCCCTCCCCCACACACCCCGGCTGACCCCCCCCCCCCCCCCCCCGCGCCCTCCCCGTGTTGGCTGCGAAATGTTGTTAATATTTCCCTGTTGTTGTTGTTTGTTGTTGTTGTTATTTCTATCATTAACGTTATCATAATAACTATCATTATGATCATAATTATCATTATTATTATTATCATTATTATTATTATTACTATTATTATTATCACTATTATCATTATCATTTATTATTATTATCATTATCATTACTCTCATCATTGTTATTATAATTGTTATTATTATTATTATTATCATTATTATTAATATTATTATTATTATTATCATTGTTGTTGTTGTTGTTATAATCATTATTATTATAACCACTGTTATTGTTATTATGAGTATAATCATGTATAATGCGTGTATATACAAATATACAAATATATAAGTATACATATATATGTACACACACACACACACACACACACACACAACACACACACTATATATATATATACATATATATATATATATATATATATATATATATATATATATGTATATATATATATATATATATATATATATATATATATATATATATATATATGTGCACATACATACACACACATACATACATATACATAAATATACCCATAAGTGCAACCACACACACACACATATGTATATATATATATATATATATATATATATATATATATATATATATATATATATATATATATATATATATCGTTTATCTATATCTACTTAATATTAATATAGATAAAAAAAAACAGTGTATGACTAAGACGGGCAAGAAATCCCCCTAACTTGACTCTAACCGAATAAGCGCTTCCGAATTATCTCGTAATGTTTACACCTCAAGAGGCCAAATTTAGGAGCTCCTTGACGATGAACTTTAAGGACTTCCGTTCCGAAAATTATTGGCCCTAATTTTCGGATTTATTTCTCGCCTTTTTTTTATTATTATTATTATTTTTATTTCCTTCCCCTCTTCCGTTGCAGAGTTGCAGGAGGAAAATGGCTTGGTATGTTTTACGATTTTTTTGGGGGAGATATGATTGAATGATTGTGAAATATGACGAGATAGGACAAATGACTGGCTTGGAGATGCGATAGTGAGAGAGATCTTATCAGCCGAACTCTTGCAGTATCTCCATTGAGCTTAGTATGGGACTCACGGGCTATTTCAAGCGCGTTGCAGACATTGCTGTGGGGGTTGGCCGGGTCATTTTTCCATCTCGCTTTCTCTTTCTCTGAATCAGCTTTTTTGTCTTTGTTTCTGTTGACTTTCTTTCTTTGTCTGTTTGTTTGCTTGTTTGTTTGTTTGTGTGTGTGTGTGTGTGTGTGTGTGTGTGTGTGTGTGTGTGTGTGTGTGTGTGTGTGTGTGTGTGTGTGTGTGTGTGTGTGTTTGTGTGTGTGTGTGTGTGTGTGTGTGTGTGTAAGTATGTATGTATGTATGTATGTATGCACACACACGTATGCATACATATATGTATGTATATATACACACATATACATACACACACATATATACATGGATATATATATTAACAGATAGATGAATATATATATATATATATATATATATATATATATATATATATATATATATATATATATATATATACTTATATAATTCATTCCTCCTTCCTTTCTTTCGTCCAAATCGCCCCACTTCCCTTCTTCACTTCCCAGCTGATGCCACTGTTATGCGCGATAATAGATGGCGATGATTACGTGATAAGCTGATAAGTCGAGGCATTTGGCACACGGAGGTAGATCTTAATGAGGCTCGTTAATTAGCACAGGTGTCTGGAGTCTGCTCAGCATCTCCGTAATGATTTCTCAGCAGATTTCTTCCATTTCCTTATCTATTTTTGAGACCGGATTTATATATATCTCTTTTTTTCTCTCTTTTTTTTCTGTCTTTTTTTTTTTTTTTTTTTTTTTTTTTTTTTTTTTTTTTGAGATCTCGTGCATATTCGGAAAGGTTACGACTACTCCGCATTCCTGTATATCACGTGCTAACTCTCTCAGCCCCGGGGTTTATGTGTGGAAAAGATACTCGCGTCGCACTCAAGTACACGCCGGGGAGAGCTCGGCCCGGTTTCCTGTCCTGGTTTGCCGCTTATTTCACTCTCACGACGCGGGGCGAAAAGAAGAAGAGGAAGATGAAGAAGAAGAAGAAGAAGAAGAAGAAGAAGAAGAAGAAGAAGAAGAAGAAGAAGAAGAAAAGAGGAAGATGAAAACGATGACGAAGAAGAAAATAAGATGAAAACGATGATGAAGAAGAAAATAAGATTAAGAAGCAGAAAACGTTTTATAATAACAAGAAGACGAAGAAGAAGAAGGAAAAGAAAAAACATGCTATGTACTACGCCGGGTGTACTTGCTCGGTCGGCTGGATGTACTTGCTCACTCAAAATGTACTTGCTCGGGAAGGTGTACTTGTGCGAGAGGGAGTACTGTACGTGCTCCAGAGGTTGTAGTTGCTCAGGACGGTGTACTTGTTCGATTCCAGTGGGTGTACTCCGGTGGATAAGTACAGTGTACTCTGTACTCTGGTGGGTGTAGCCCCGTGGGTGTACTCCGGTGGGTAAGTATGGTGTACTCTGGTGGGTGTAGTTCGTGGGGGTACTCCGGTGGCTGTAGTCCCATAGGTGTACTCTGGTGAGTGTAGTCCCGTGGGTGTCTCTGGTGGGTGTAGTTCGTGGGGGTACTCCGGTGGCTGTAGTCCCATAGGTGTACTCTGGTGAGTGTAGTCCCGTTGGGTGTACTCTGGTGGGTGTAGTTCGTGGGGGTACTCCGGTGGCTGTAGTCCCATAGGTGTACTCTGGTGAGTGTAGTCCCGTTGGGTGTACTCTGGTGGGTGTAGTTCGTGGGGGTACTCCGGTGGCTGTAGTCCCATAGGTGTACTCTGGTGAGTGTAGTCCCGTTGGGTGTACTCTGGTGGGTGTAGTTCGTGGGGGTACTCCGGTGGCTGTAGTCCCATAGGTGTACTCTGGTGAGTGTAGTCCCGTTGGGTGTACTCTGGTGGGTGTAGTTCGTGGGGGTACTCCGGTGGCTGTAGTCCCATAGGTGTACTCTGGTGAGTGTAGTCCCGTTGGGTGTACTCTGGTGGGTGTAGTTCGTGGGGGTACTCCGGTGGCTGTAGTCCCATAGGTGTACTCTGGTGAGTGTAGTCCCGTTGGGTGTACTCTGGTGGGTGTAGTTCGTGGGGGTACTCCGGTGGCTGTAGTCCCATAGGTGTACTCTGGTGAGTGTAGTCCCGTTGGGTGTACTCTGGTGGGTGTAGTTCGTGGGGGTACTCCGGTGGCTGTAGTCCCATAGGTGTACTCTGGTGAGTGTAGTCCCGTGGGTGTCTCTGGTGGGTGTAGTTCGTGGGGGTACTCCGGTGGCTGTAGTCCCATAGGTGTACTCTGGTGAGTGTAGTCCCGTGGGTGTCTCTGGTGGGTGTAGTTCGTGGGGGTACTCCGGTGGCTGTAGTCCCATAGGTGTACTCTGGTGAGTGTAGTCCCGTTGGGTGTACTCTGGTGGGTGTAGTTCGTGGGGGTACTCCGGTGGCTGTAGTCCCATAGGTGTACTCTGGTGAGTGTAGTCCCGTTGGGTGTACTCTGGTGGGTGTAGTTCGTGGGGGTACTCCGGTGGCTGTAGTCCCATAGGTGTACTCTGGTGAGTGTAGTCCCGTTGGGTGTACTCTGGTGGGTGTAGTTCGTGGGGGTACTCCGGTGGCTGTAGTCCCATAGGTGTACTCTGGTGAGTGTAGTCCCGTTGGGTGTACTCTGGTGGGTGTAGTTCGTGGGGGTACTCCGGTGGCTGTAGTCCCATAGGTGTACTCTGGTGAGTGTAGTCCCGTGGGTGTCTCTGGTGGGTGTAGTTCGTGGGGGTACTCCGGTGGCTGTAGTCCCATAGGTGTACTCTGGTGAGTGTAGTCCCGGGGTGTGTACTCTGGTGGGTGTAGTTCGTGGGGGTACTCCGGTGGCTGTAGTCCCATAGGTGTACTCTGGTGAGTGTAGGCCAGTGGTGTACTCTGGTGGGTGTAGTTCGTGGGGGTACTCCGGTGGCTGTAGTCCCATAGGTGTACTCTGGTGAGTGTAGTCCCGGGGTGTGTACTCTGGTGGGTGTAGTTCGTGGGGGTACTCCGGTGGCTGTAGTCCCATAGGTGTACTCTGGTGAGTGTAGTCCCGGGGTGTGTACTCTGGTGGGTGTAGTTCGTGGGGGTACTCCGGTGGCTGTAGTCCCATAGGTGTACTCTGGTGAGTGTAGTCCCGTTGGGTGTACTCTGGTGGGTGTAGTTCGTGGGGGTACTCCGGTGGCTGTAGTCCCATAGGTGTACTCTGGTGAGTGTAGTCCCGTGGGTGTCTCTGGTGGGTGTAGTTCGTGGGGGTACTCCGGTGGCTGTAGTCCCATAGGTGTACTCTGGTGAGTGTAGTCCCGTTGGGTGTACTCTGGTGGGTGTAGTTCGTGGGGGTACTCCGGTGGCTGTAGTCCCATAGGTGTACTCTGGTGAGTGTAGTCCCGTGGGTGTCTCTGGTGGGTGTAGTTCGTGGGGGTACTCCGGTGGCTGTAGTCCCATAGGTGTACTCTGGTGAGTGTAGTCCCGTTGGGTGTACTCTGGTGGGTGTAGTTCGTGGGGGTACTCCGGTGGCTGTAGTCCCATAGGTGTACTCTGGTGAGTGTAGTCCCGTGGGTGTACTCTGGTGGGTGTACCCCTGTGGGTGTTCTCCGGTGGATAAGTACAGTGTACTCTGTACTCTGGTGGGTGTAGTTCGTGGGGGTACTCCGGTGGCTGTAGTCCCATAGGTGTACTCTGGTGAGTGTAGTCCCGTGGGTGTCTCTGGTGGGTGTAGTTCGTGGGGGTACTCCGGTGGCTGTAGTCCCATAGGTGTACTCTGGTGAGTGTAGTCCCGTTGGGTGTACTCTGGTGGGTGTAGTTCGTGGGGGTACTCCGGTGGCTGTAGTCCCATAGGTGTACTCTGGTGAGTGTAGTCCCGTTGGGTGTACTCTGGTGGGTGTAGTTCGTGGGGGTACTCCGGTGGCTGTAGTCCCATAGGTGTACTCTGGTGAGTGTAGTCCCGTTGGGTGTACTCTGGTGGGTGTAGTTCGTGGGGGTACTCCGGTGGCTGTAGTCCCATAGGTGTACTCTGGTGAGTGTAGTCCCGTTGGGTGTACTCTGGTGGGTGTAGTTCGTGGGGGTACTCCGGTGGCTGTAGTCCCATAGGTGTACTCTGGTGAGTGTATCTCGATTTTCCTCTTCCTTTCCTTCGGCCTTCCTCCGCCTTCTACTTCCCCTTCGCCCTCGGCATCGTGTCCTCTCTGGTCCCTCATCCTCGCGCTCTTCCCCCGGTCTCCGTCCACCTTCCGCCCCTCCGTCGGCTGGTCCTCGATGACAGGCGCGGCCGCCGCCAGTGGTTCCGAGAAATTCTGAGTCGACACTTGAGTCCATAAATTCCATAGAGGCGCTCATTGTCTTTCATGGTTGGGCGGGGAGCTCTCACGGCGCTATTTTTAGCGGGAAAGGAGCCATTGTTGGCGTAAGATTGGCGTGAAATCTAGCCAAGATTTAGTGACCGGGTGTCGGGGCCTTTTGGCGTGGCGAGCTGTAACTTTGTAGCTTTAGTTTTAAAAACATGTCAAGGCGGCGAGCGGAGTCACGGTAAATCAGAACTAATGAATATACGACATTAGGATAATTCTGACCCGACGGGCCAGTGGAAAGGGCACGTTTCGAGGATTTTCCCTTCGTTGTTATATAAACAAGAGGCCGTTGGTGGTCGCCATATTTCCCCGCGCCATCGTCGCCGCTTTCGTATTTTCCTTTTATTTTTTTTTCTGCTTGTCATCGACCTGGGCGGATGACGATGGTGACGACGACTTCCGGTTCTGGTGTTGGAAATAAGGTTAATGAGATCATGACTTCCGGTGCAACAGGGTGCACTTGCAAGCTATCTGGGCGCCTCAGCCAAGAACCTGCTTCATTCAGTCTACTACGGCGTCGCACGGAAGAAAGACTTTGATGCATGCGCTCCCCCTTCACCGCTCTCGCTCGCGCTCCTTCTCGCTTCCTCTTTCTCACTCTCTCTTCCTCTTCCCCAACCAGTATTCTCTCTCTCTCTGTATATATACATACATATAATATATATATATATATATATATATATATATATATATATATATATATATATATATATATGTATATATATATATATATATATATATATATATATATATATATATATATATATATATATATATATATATGTATTTATATATGTATATATATATATATATATATATATATATATATATATATATATATATATATATATATATATATATATGCATGTATATATATACACACAAATATCTTTCTGTCTATCCATCTATCTATCTATCTATATAAAGAAATTAATATATGAATACACACATATATATATGTATATATATTTGTATATATATATATATATATATATATATATATATATATATATATATATATATATATATAAATAGATAGATAGATAGATAGATAGATAGATAGATATATACATATATACATATATATCCCTCTTCCCTTCCTCCTCTCTCTCTCTCTCTTTCTCTCCTTCTCTCCCCCTCTCTCTTCCTCTTCCTCTCCCTCCCCCTTTCCCGCTCCCTCTATCTCTCTCCCCTCTCCCTTCTCTTTCATCGCTATCTCCATCATACTCCATTCTCCTCCACCAGCTTCCCACTTCCCTTTCGTTTTTTTTTCTTTAATCGCTTCCTGGTCGTCCTCTTCTCCTTCTTATTATCCTCGTCGTTTATCTTTTTTCTTCTCTTCTCCTTCTCCTTCCTCCCCCTTCCTCTCCTCGCCTTTCCCCCCCCTTTTCTCCTCCATTCCTCCCTTTATCCCCCTCCCTTCCTCCTCTTTTCTTCTCCCCTTTCCCCTTCCCCTCTTCCCCTTTTCCCCTCCCTTCCTCCTTTTCCCCCCTCCCTTCCTCTCCTTTCCCCCTTCCTCCCTCCCTTTATCCCCTTCCCTTCCTCCCCTTTTCCCCTCTCCCTTCCTCTCCTTTCCCCCCTTCCTCCCTTTTCCCCTCTCCCTTCTTCCCTTTTCCCCCTCCCTTCCTCCCTTTTCCCCCTCCCTTCCTCCTTTTTCCCCCTCCCTTCCTCTCCTTTCCCCCCTTCCTCCCTCCCTTTATCCCCTTCCCTTCCTCCCCTTTTCCCCTCCCTTCCTCCCTCCCTTTTCCCTCTCTCTCTCCTCCCTTCCTCCCTTTCCCCCCTCCATTCCTCCCTTTCCCTCCTCCTTCCTCTCCTTCCCCCCTCCCTTCCTCTCCTTTCCCCCCCTCCCTTCCTCCCTTTTCCTCCCTCCCTTCCTCCTCTTTTCTCCTCCCTTCCTCCCCTTTCCCCCCCTCCCTCCCCCCCTAATCACCCTTCATCACCCTCCCCCCATTCACGTCATCATCATTTGCCTCGCTTACATACACAGTTTGTATTTATTTGTGTGTACGCGTGCGGGTCGATGTGCGTGTGTGCGTGCGTGTGTGCGCCGGGAGAGTTTGTGTACGCCTGATCGGTCTGATTAAGCGTTTTACGATTTTCGAAACACGCATATGTATATGTATTTATTTGTATGTTGATTTGTATATTTATGTTTATATACAAATCCTATAAAGGTACACGTACATACTCACATATGTGTGTGTGTGTATGTGTGTGCATGTGTGTGTATATATATATCTATATATCTATATATCTATATATCTATATCTATCTATCTATCTATCTATCTATCTATCTATATATATATATATATATATATATATATATATATATATATATATATATATATATATATACACACATACACATATATATACACACACACACACACACATATATATATTATATATACATAAAGAAAACATACGCATATGTATACAAAGAAATACGTATTGGTTAAACACAGATACAAATATATAAAACAGGGATATAAGAAAGGCGAGAAGAAGAGGAAGGGAGAGAGAGAGAGAGAGAGAGAGAGAGAGAGAGAGAGAGAGAGAGAGAGAGAGAGAGAGAGAGAGAGAGAGAGAGAGAGAGAGAGAAAGAGAGAGAGAGAGAGAAGAGAGAGAGAGAGAGGAGAGAGAGAGGGAGAGAGAGAGAGAGAGAGAGAGAGAGAGGGAGATAGATAGATAGAGAGAGAGAGAGAATGTGATAGATAGATAGAGAGACGCAGAGAGAGAATGAATGGTAGAGAAAGAGAAAGAGACAGAGACAGAGAGGGAGTGAGAGTGAGAGAAAGGGAAGTGACTTGTCATAATTTTTTGGATCATTCGGACCTCAGGAGAAAATGCTCGCCGTTCTGTGGTGCTTCTGGAGCCGAACCAAGTGTAAGCTCCTCGTCCGCCCTCACACCCTCACGCCCTCACGCCCGCACGCCCGCACTCTCGCCCCTAGAGCTGCTGTTCTTGTCAGGAGGGTTGTGGGTGGGAGGTGGTGGTGGGGGTGTGTGGTAGGGTGGTGGGGGTAGTATAAATGTTGGGGAAGGGGGGGGGGGCGATGGTGAAAGGGGGGTTGGGCGGTGGGGGGGGGGGGGTGCCGCGGATAGCAGGCATATTGCTGTCACAGGTCGTACCCAAGCGATCGTTGGTTATGTGTGTGGATAGTCGTACGGTCATACACACACACACACACACACGCACACACACACACACAGACACACACACACACACACACACACACACACACACACACACACACACACACACACACACACACACACAAACACACGTGCACATAAACACCCACGCATAGAAACACAATTTTTCCTGTCATATTAATTCGCTTTTAATTTTCCTCATTTTCGAATTAAATCTTCCATTTCGAATTCCTTGAATCAGTTCTGTGTTTTACATATTCAACTTCAAAATAATAGTCATGCATTTATGTGCTTGAGAGTAAAAATTGAAAGTTGTGTGACTGAATAAAATACTCAAAATAATAGTTATGGATTCATGTGATTGAGAGTAAAAATTGAAAGTTATGTGACTGAATGAACATATACAAACTGAAAAAAAACATTAAAAGAGAGAAAGAAGTGAACTTTATTTCAAAAAATTAACATAAGAGGTTTATATTTCTACTAATCATCTCTACTGCCGTTATCCCTTACCTCAGGACACGTAACCTACTTTTTACATTTAAATAGTGTAATATTTTACATTAGCTAGCGAAAAAAATATATTAATGAAAGAATGAAAGCATTGTTGTATGCAGTTTAGTTTAGTTTAAGTTTAAGTTTAGTTCAGTTTGAATTACAGTTGTTTAGTTTAGTTCAACGACCCTATTACCAGGTAGGTCCTAAGTAATTCCAGGTAATTTTGAAAAATAAATTAATTATCATATTTTCATATATCGGAACTTGGAATGTAGCTAAATTCCTACTACTTTCTGAACTGATATTCTCTCATATGCAACGTTGACAAACAAAAGAAAGAAAAGTAAACACACAGAGGATAAAGACAGCAAAAAAAACAAAAACAAAAACAAAAAATACACAATGACCACGTGTTACCCTCTTTTTTTTTTCTTTTTTTTTCTTTTAAACTAATTCAGTAAATATTTGTAAGTGCCACGTCTGGGATTAAAACACAAAGTTTCACGTTTCGCCTTGACAATGTGGTACATAATTTTGTGTATTTCTGTTCAAATAATTTCGCATTGGAGTTTCGTAGTGACATGAGGAAAAGATTAGGTGCGTGGGGAGGAGGTGGGGAGGGGAGGGCGTGGGCTGGGTGGGGGAGGGGTTGGGGGGGGGAGGCGGGGTCTGTGTATGAAGAAGTATCATGAGTGTTTTTGTTGTTGTTGGCAGTTTCTATTCTTTATTTCCTGTTGTTTTTTTTTCTCTTTTTCTTTTTCTTTTCTCTCTTGAATAATTTCGTGGAATATGAAGGGACGAACATTCTTGAAAATGTAAAATAATCACGTTAACACTTCTGCGGACTGCCTCCCCTCCCCCCGCCCGACACACAAAGAGAGAGAGAGAGAGAGAGAGAGAGAGAGAGAGAGAGAGAGAGAGAGAGAGAGAGAGAGAGAGAGAGAGAGAGAGAGAGAGAGAGAGAGAGACAGAGAGAGACAGAGACAGACATAAAGAAAGAGAGAAAGAAAGAGAGAGAGAGAGAGAAAGAAAGAGAGAGAGAGAGAGAGAGAGAGACAGAGAGAGAGAGAGAGAGAGAGAGAGAGAGAGAGAGAGAGAGAGAGACAGACAGACAGACATAAAGAAAGAGAGAAAGATAGATAGATAGATAGATAGATAGATAGAGAGAGAGAAAAAAAAAAGAGAGAGAGAGAGAGAATAAAATCTACCCCTAAGGCGATATAACCTGCAGCTTACACCCTGGGGGAACAGAGTCACAGTCAACTTTCATTCATCAACACTACACAAGAGCTTCAGAATGAGCGAATCGGAGATGGACGCTGAGGTTACGAGGG